CTGCGCGCACGGCGCAAGGCAGCGCCTTCCCCTCCCCGCGTTTCGGTGACACTGGTGCTGGGGACGCGGGACAAGGACTGTGTGTCTGTGTGTGTGCGCGTGCGGTCGGGCGAATGGAGAAGCGAGGATTTCACACAATTCCGCGGAGTAAGTGAAAAGCGTTTTGTTGTTGTTGGGTTTTGTGTGTGTGTGTGCGTGTGTGTGTGTGTGTTTTTTTAACAGCGAGGATCTAAAATAAACTGCTTAAAGCGGGTGGCGGGGGTGGGGGTGGGAGCGATCTTGCAGCCCCACGCTTTCATGCCGTGCTCAATTGGCTTTTTGAAACTGCAGATCCTTTGAGACAGAGAGGGAGAGAGAAGCAAAAATCCCTATTTGTAACTAAAACACACTGCAACCTGGAAGGTTGGCAGAATAAACCTATTGTGGAGCGCTGAAATGCACTGGAATATACAAGCAAAAATCCCCAAGAGTACCACTGTTTGTAAAAAGGTAATTGCTAAGTGAAAATATTTCCAAGTTTTCGCTTTTTTTAACTTTCGACTTTGCGATTTGTTTGCATGCCGAAAAAAGAAGGAAAAAAAGCCTTCCCCCCCCCCCCCCCCACCTGAAACCTAAAATATAAAATTACTGGATCTAAAAATAAAGCAGTGGTTAAAAGCCTCCCCCACCCTCTCCAATCTCCCACCCCTTCCACCCCTCTCTCACTCCTTCTCCCTCCCTCCCTCCCTCTCTCTCTCTCTCTCTCTCTTTCTGTGTGTTTGCGTTTGACAAAGAAATTATTTGAACTTCCCACTGCCTCATAAAAAGGAAACAGAATAGCAGTTTTGACATATGGATGTGATTTTTCTGCTCTGAGACAGATGCACACGGAAAACAAACAGCACCAGGGGCTGCAGCTCTGAGGGAGCGAAGTTGCTCCGCTTCACATGGGCTCCTACACTGCATTTAGGGAGCTGCCCAGATCTCCAGCCATGAGAAAGCGAAGCAAAGGACCGGGGTTTCTTGTCATGTGCCTTTCTGGCTAAAACTGTGGAAACAAACAAACAATCAAACAAACACAAATTCTGGAGGGGGGGGCGGGAGGGAAGGAGAAGGAGAAATCATCTGCAACTGGAGCGCTGGAAGACCTCTCGTCCTCCTACTTCCTTGAGAGATCTTGGATGCTGGAAGAAGCCTCTTGGATATGGGATCATATCTGGTTTATCACAGTCTGGGTTTGATCCTCTGCTGCTCCGTACTGAGTTCTGTCTACGCTCTGGTGAGTCGCTGAATCTTTTCCCTTCACATTCTTGAACAAGCTGTTCGGCTGTTTCCTTGATGAGTAATTTACTGTATCAGGGATTTAGAAGGCAGAGCGCTGGTTTTTCAGACCAATGGTTTATTTCGTTGGCAGATAGTGTGTGTAGCTGGTCTCAGAGTTGCTGCACCAGATGAAATTAAAATGTCTGTGCTTCCAGAAGAGCTTGAATCACTTTTAAAACTCTCCAGAGAGAAACGTGTGCAGTTTGACAGGGAGAGGAGGCAAAGGGAAGCATTTGGGGAACAATTTAAAAGACACCTACCAGTAAGTCAAGGGAAACTTTAGTCTTTTTACGGCCCACCCACCAGCATGACAGATTTAATTTTAATTTAATCTCTTTAATCTGCAAATCTGCTTAATCTCAGCAAAACAGTGCCTTTCTGAGATTAACTTTGGAGAGAACCTTAGAGTCCAAACCTCAGTGCATGGATGGCAGATAGTTTACACTCCAGAGAATGAACGTAGTATTAACCCTTTGCTACCTGGGGCTATTTTCACCTGTTCCTGAACACACTGATAGAGACCTTTTTTTACAGGGGGAGACAAGTGTTGTAAAAAGGGCTAAACTCTGTTAAAACTGTCTTGATGGTGATGATGGGGAAGGGACTTAGCTCTACAGACCCTCTCTGCAGCCTTGAGTGATTTCTTAAGCCCTTCTGCAGAAGTGAAGGCAAATGTCATACAAAGTGAGCCATCAGATTTTAATCCATGGCGCATATACCACATTGACATGCACTTTGGTTTCTTTTTCCATCCCTGGCATCAACATCGTTGCTGCCCTTTCTGAGTACCGTCTGGTGTAGGAAGTAGCATGACCACCACCTGGGATGGTGTCTGCTGTCCAAAGAGCATGGAAATGCGTTTGGAGGGGAGCAGGTTAACCCCGATCCCAGCTCCAGCCAGGTCCTCCCTGATGCTCCAGGGACTGTCAGGCTGGGCTCATTCCCCTGGGTTTGGTGGGAATTATTTGCGACCTTGTGCAGGGCTGAGGTAGGCATTTCCCCAGTACATCCAGCATAGTGCTGGAGGGAAACATCTCATAGATGAAGGAGAAGCAGCAGCCCCTTGGAAAGAGTCGCTATTGCAGTCCATCCCTACCACTGTCTATCTCAAGCATGGATAAACCTTTCAAAGCCCAAAGAAGACCAGAAGTTGCTGGGAGGCTAGCTGTAGAGTCTCTGAGGGTTTAGTGACGGATGAGGTTTCTCTTCTGTTCTGGGGTTGGATTAGCATCTCCTCTGACTGTAGTCGACTTTGGGGCCGTATCATGACACAGCTCATGGGGATATGTGGCACCTGCTAGCCCCTTCCTTCACGGACCTGCTGGCACTGAAGTCAGCAGCAAAATTCCCGTCTCTGTGGATACCAGTGAGAATTAGGGATTTGGGACAGCCAAATCGGAGCTGGGCAAACTTCAGGAGACAAGAAAGACAGGAGACCGCTGCGCTGCCCATCTCCAGTCTTATTGCCCACTCGCTCTGCCGTCCTGGTACTATTCTGGGTACATCTGGAACGTGCAGAGGACCAGAGTCAGGGGGTCAAGTCTCAGCTGTGTTGTGTTTTCAGCGGGTGTTTCAGTTTTAACCTGTGTGCTCTCCAGAGCTAGGGGAAAGAGCGATACTCCTCCATCGAAACGGACAATTTCAGATCACAAACTCTGTGATTAACTCGGCAGCGCTGACAGGCGAGCAGAGAGGCTCACGGCCAGAGCAGCTGCTGCGAGCGCCCTGTGCTCCTGCTCAGGGTGAGCCTGAGTTCAACATACATCAGGAATAGCTCTGCCAGAATCAAAGAAGGGCAAGAATGTGGGCAAATTCGCTGGGAAGGGGTGGGCGAGGAACTCGCAATGCAGTTTGCTCTGTCATGTTTCCAAAAAGCGTGATGCTCTACCATGCCAATTTAGGGTCCTACCACCAGAGACCCCATGTGGTTTACTTAAGCCCAGGCTGCAGTGCACGTTTCAGACACTTCCCTTGCTTTTCAAACCTGCTGCCGCCAACAGCTAAGGGAAATGCCAGAAGGTTTGAGAAGTCACCCTCAAAATTCAGGGGCTGCAAAGATACTCTGTGTCCCTTTCTGGCACCCACTTAGGCAGAAAAAGAAGGTCAGACCCATGTCATCCCACTGTATAACAGCTTGCGAGGCAGAGAACAAACTTGCAGGGTGCCTAGAGCCTGTTTTTTCCTTGTTTTTTTCTCCCTAAACTAACTTGTTCTTGATTTTTAAATGAACTTTAAAGCCACTGTACAGTATTGACTGCGTGTTTCAGCACGGTGATTTCTTGGCTGCTGCGTGATAAGAAGGGTTGTATATAGGCTTGATATTTGGCTAGCAGGTCGGAGTGGGTTCTATGGGCTGTTGTCAATAGCAGTCACTAAATGCCTCTTTCCTCGAGGCAATAAGCAAAAATCGATGATGGTAACAGCAGAAGGATGGAGATACAAGGAGCTATTTTAGAGATAGGCTTTATGGCAGCTTTGGGCCGAGCTAAAAGTGGCACCCGATCTTTCACAAACACACACACACCCCCAGCAGAAAATCAGCCCTCTGTTGCTGGGGTTGGATCGGGCGGATTCCCGCCGACGGAGGCAGCCGGCTTGCTCAGAGCTTCAGGGCACAGTTCGTCTGTCTGAGGCTGCGAGACCTACGTCTCAAGAGCCCTGGCCCTAATTGCTGGGCTGTTAGCGGCTAGGTTGCTTTGTAGCTGATACTTGTGAAAGCTGAGATCAGTCAGAGCATGATGTGTCCTAATGCTGTCACTGCTGAAACACCCTGTGGTGTTCTTTTATTTATTTATTCGTTTATTTCTCCATGGCTAAAGATGATAATAAAGGTACTACTTGCAGAGAGAGTGCTGAAGTGGGGGTAGGAAATGGTTTCTTTGATCTCTGGGTACATCATGAAGCATCACATTGTGAGATGACTCACTTTCCAAGGAGCACGCCGACTGCGCGTCCCTGCTTTAACTGTGAAGCAGCAGTGGGAAATTTAGCACACGGTCAAGTGCCGTGGTGGCGGGGCCTCTCAGAGATGAATGCATCCCTCTCACTTGCTTTTCACACTGTGATCCAACCAGACCCTCATTTTTCAGGAGGTGCGGTTGTCTGTGAGGACGTTGTGCTCCCCGCCGTGAGCCTGTAGCCCCACCAAACCCCGGGAGCAAGATCCACATGCAGGCCTAGGGCTTTCAGGTAGCAGCCAGGAGGGACCAAGTCTGCTCTCTCTGACATGGAGTAAAGTACCGGGTGAAGTTCTGTTCTCCTCCAACTCCCTGGCAATCCCGAGAAGTCCTTCCCCCAATTTCCACGGGAATATTCCTCCCCTAACACCTGCCTGAATGCAGAGGAGGCTTTAGCTTGTTGATTGAGTGTTTTGTTTCTGAGATCCGGCAGAGTGAGGGGGCACATTTGGGTTATTTCTACTAGTTGATCCAAGGACCAAGGAAGCATGACTAGCCTGAGCCTGAAAGCTCTGCAAATGTAGACTTAAAAAGATGGTGTGTGCAAAAGGAGCTTTAAAAGTGGGAATCGACATCAGCAGAGCGCGGGAGAAGCTAAGATGCAGGCACTACATTTTTATATGAAAGGCACTGCAAAATCTTCTTGCAGAAAGACCTCTCCATGTTCTACCTCCCAGCCAAAAAACCTATGGTTTGTTCTGTCATCGGTTCTGCTTTTAACCAGTTCCCTGCCCCGCCAGTCTACACCTGGCAGCTCCCAACCCAGTTGTCACTGGAGGAGTTACTCTGCAGAAAAAAAAATTTAATAAAAGGCCACCAGCCTGCTGAGATGCTGCAGCAGGGCTTTGGGGCAGAATAGCTCCATTTTGAGATGTGGGAACCAGCCTGAGCTGGCTGCAGACCGCTGAGCTCCGCATGGGCTATCCCACCTGGGTAAGTGGGTCCATGTGTGGATATGAAATAGGTAGCAAAAAGGACCCCGCTTTGCTGTCCTGGAGTTGGCTTGAGTTAGTTTCTATACTTGATTTTGCATCTCAGCAGTGTTCAATGCCTTGGAGGAGGTGCTGCATCTTAGGGGAGGGTTGCGTTTTGACACGCAGGATGGGCTCTACCCCTTCCTACTAGCTGCAGACTGTGGTTCCCCCGGCTGTGGCCCCACTCAAACTGCTCGGGCAATGCTGAAGTTTCCCTCTGGTTTTACAGAGAAGCTGTAATGCTTCCCCAGCAATTCAGGAGATGTTAATAATATCCTTTCTTGCAGGAATAAACCGAAAGAGAGACGAGCTTGGCCAGGTAACCCACAGAAAGATCTCAGCTCTGATTCCCAAGAGAGCAGTGTCAACACCAGGACTGGTGTTAATCTCCAGTAGGAGTTTAATCTCAGGCTTGATAAATTAGGAAATTCTCCTAGTTCACACCAGGATGATACGCTGGCTGCTGGGTCACCAGCCAAGTGAGAGTCCTGCATTTAAACGCGGCAAAGCAGATGGCTAAAGGAGGTGCTGGTCAGTGTTCTGTTCTTCAGCTTGTGTCTTGTCCGCTCTCAGACCAGAATCACATCTTAATGGATTTGGAAATGGGAAGGATTTTAAAGTTGAATAATTTACAGCTGGAAGGGAAAGCTAATCATATTCTGTCTCAGAGCACGGCCAATAATAAAAAGAGTAATAACAATAAAATAATTCTGTATAGAGATCCTGCAAATCCTGACTAGCTGTCTAACTCCATTGAATAAAGGCAGGCTCCAAGTGCAGGAAAACAATGTCTGAAATGTTCCTTTCCCTGCACACGCTTGGGAGCGTGCCCATCGCTGCCCCGTGTATTTATGAAAGATACGATTTTTGTTATTGTACTTCGGGATTAGCAGATATCCCTGGACTATAAAATACCCAACCACAAAATATAAAGCAAACAAGCCTTCATGTCAGACTAATGCATGGGTTGTGATTTCATCCCATACAAGCCAAAAAAGTTCAGCAGCCCAGTGGCAAATCTGACC